AATTTCTAATACTTTTTCCTAGCTTGTTTATAATTTGTATTTTTTCTTTTTGAACTGTTTGTTTCTGTTTTGAAAACTTGTCTATTAGAGAATAACTAAATTCTATTTCTGTCAATTCTCTGTCGATTTTATGTGTCAGACTTTTATCAGAGATGTTTAATGCAAAGATGTTTTCAGATCAATATCTTTTTTAATTCTCTCCTGCATTGTTTTGTGTGTACAAGAGGTTTGTAATTTTATATGAGATATAATGAAGACCAGTTACAAAATGGAGTTGGTTTAATGTGGGAACTAAGGGAATCAATCAGATTCCATTTTATAAACATTGACACCATCTTGTGCTGCCACATATATTCTCCTCTATCTTGTTTTTCTGTTATTCGTCCATGGGTAACAAGATTATATAAGCCATCTTTTGTTTCATAAATACAGGTGGATGCAATTAATCAACATCTTTGTCTTTTATGAAGAGGATTTTGAAATCTACTCCTCCTCCTCCCAACTTGGAAAGCTTCTAATCTTTCCTTCAGTTAGAAATTAGATTACCTAATTTTGTATTCTAAAATTGTTTTTATCATAATTAATTGGTCTTACCTTATTGTTTTTTGTGTATAAAAATTCACTTCACTCTGTATTCAGGGTCTTTGGACTGACTGGGGAGTCCACTGACCCATTTATTCTAACTGCCTAACTAATAAATTATTTTTGCTCAGATTGTTTCCTCAGTTATTATAAACTAACTACCACACAGAACTAAGATTGTTCATAATTTCATCTATTCAATACCTTCCAAACTGCTCTTTTAAGAGCAACGAAATGATGCCTGTACTTAAAATTGACATAAAATTGCTTCCAGGTGACTGGGGAGAATGGAGTTCTCATTAAGAGAAATAGAAAAGTCAGAACAAAGTTCAGTTTTGGAAGGAAATACAATGATTTATACTTTAGACCTGATGAACTTGAGAGATCAGGCAGCAAGTGGAGATGTCCAGTAAGTAATTAGAAATGAACAACTTGAATTCATCAGAGAGACAGGTTGGTGTCATTGCTAGGGCATTGTAATTGGAGCCTCTTTGTGACTCAATTTCCTGATCTGTTCAATAAAAAGTTTGGATTTGCTGGCCCTTCCAGAACTATAAGCCTTTTATCTCATGATTGATTATAAATGTGGACGTCATCCATATAAAGGTGATAATTGGAGATGTGCCAATATATGAGATCATCAAGAGAAAGTGTAGAGAGAAGAAAGCTGAGGACAGAGCCATGAGGGAGTGCCTATATTAAGGAAATGGAAAGAAAAAGAGTTGATATGGAAAAGATCAGACAAGGAGTGGTTAGAGAAATAAGAAGAGAACCAAGAGTGCAATGTCACAGATGCCTGGGAAAGAATGAGTATGAAGGAAAGGATGGGGGAGTGGTCAATAGTTTTAATGCTGGTGAGAGTTCAAAGAGGATGAATGCTGAGAAAAAAAAATCTTTGGCCTTATCAGTGGGGAATTTCAGAGAGAGGTTTCAGTGAGATGGTGACTGACATCAGATTACAAAGTCTGAGGAATAAGCGGATGATGGGAAAGCAGAGAAATGAAGGAATTAAAAAGGACCCTCACTGGCATTTAGTCAAATCTGTAGCTGAACTAGAATTTACTCTCCAGAATTCCCAAGTAGTCATGCAGACTTCTCTTTCTTAAATTTATTTTTCCACATTTATTTATTTTAATTTACTGAATAAAACAAGCATTTCCATAACACAGTACAATAATAATAATAATAATAATATAATAATAATAATAATAATAATAATAATAATAATAATAATATGATTGCACATGAAGCCTTCTCTTAAAGACCTTTACTGAAGAGGAATCAACTAATTCACCACCCATTCCACTTTGGAACAACTCATTTCCTTAGAAAAATTTTCCTTATGTCAAGCTGTTAGCTTGTTTGCAACTTCCACCTAATCCTCCCAGATCTACCCTCTAGGGTCAAGATGGAAAAATCTAATCCACAAGACAGCCATTCAAATATTTGGCAACTAATACGCCAATCCTAAATCAGTCATTTCAACTGGGAACAGAATAGCAAAAAGTTTTTGTTCATTTGCTTCTAGGACAGGACAGGCTTAAATTTGTTGTTGATAAGTGAAGGAAAAGGAGCCAGTGCATAAGGAGAAATTGAAGATGGATGACAGTTTGCCTCATTCAGTCATTAAACATTTATTTTTGCTTTTTTTTTTGTATCCTCAATGCTTGGCACATAATAAGTGATTAATAAATGTTTATTGATTAAGTGCCTACTAGGTGCCATACACTGTGCTAAGCACTGGGGAAAGGTAAAAAGTAGGCCCTGCTCTTGAGATTAGGCAGTCAGCAGACAAACAAATATATACTAACAAACTATATATACAGGATAAATTGGGGGAAAATTATTGGAGGGAAGGCATTAGAATTGAGGGGCTGGGAAAGGCTTTCTGTAGAAGCTTGGATTTTAGTTAGGACATGAAGAAAACTAGAGAAGCCAAGAGGCAGAGATGCGAAGAGAGAGCTTTCTAGGCAGAAGGGACAGCTAGTGAAAATTCCTGGAGCTGAGAGATAGAGGAAGGAACAGAAAGAGGCCAGTGACACCAGATCAAAGAGTATATGGAGGTAGAAGTGTAAGATGTAAAAAGACTGGAAAGGTGAGGGCAGGGCAGGTTTATGAGAGTCTTTGAATGCCAGAGGATTTTATATTTGATCCTGGCAGTGATAGTGAGCCATGGAGTTTACTGGGAGTAAGGGGGTGACATGGTTAGTTCTATACTCTAGAAAGGTCACTTTTAACAGCTGAGTAGAGGAGGGACTGGGGAAGGGCAAGATTTGTGGCAGGCACGCCAACCAGCAAGCTACTATACAATTGTCTAGACATGCGGTGATACGGACCTGTGCCAGGGTGGTGGCAGTTTCAGAAGAGAGATGTTACAAAGGTAAAATCAACAGGTCTTGGCAACAGGAAGGGCCACCTTTCCATATAAGATAGGTGAAGGAGGAAATAATGGCAGAAGCCATGAAATGAGGAGGAGAGGAAAAGAGGAAGCTCTCTGTGAACGGCCTCAGCGTTCTCGGTAAAATATGAGGCAAACTTCTTAGCTGAGATGGAATTACAGATGAATGAAGAAAGATCCTGGAAAAGATAGGAGACTATGGGATCAAGGATACTTCCAGTTTAAGAGATTTGTATGAATGTTTGAAAGCTTTACTTGTTTCCACCCTCAATAAAAGCATGAACATAATTTTACGTCTTAAAAGAATAATTTAATTCTTTTTAGAGACATTGCAGTAGCAATACAAAAAGAGGCACAGTTAGAGGTACTATATGATTGTCACTTTAATAGTGATAATGCAATTTTTAAAAACTTTAATGGCTACAAAGACATTTATTATGGCATCAGAATTAATGGGCTCTTAGTATCATATTGAATGGAAAAAATACTTTAGGAGGCAGTGAAGCCTCATATAGGCAGTATAGCATGGCTACAAAGACGTTTATTATGGCATCAGAATTAATGGGCTCTTAGTATCATATTGAATGGAAAAAATACTTTAGGAGGCAGTGAAGCCTCATATAGGCAGTATAGCACTGTTGTCAAACTCAAATAGAAACAGGAGCCACTAAATTGTTCACAATGGTTCCTGTTGCCTCATATTGAATCAGGAAAACACATTATCTGTTTTTATTGCATTTTAATTTATTTTGTTAAATATTTTTAAATTACATTTTAATCTGGGTCAGGCAGCCCTGTTTGACATGTCTAGAGTAGAGGACCTGAAGTCAGACAGTTCAAATCCCACCTCAGGCACTTATTAGCTGGACTAATCACTTAAATTCTCTTTTCCTCATCTTTAAGATAGGGATAAAAACAAAAGTTGTAGTATCACTCTCAAAGGGCTGTTCATGTGATCAAATGCCATAGTCATAAAGTACTTGGCAAAGGAAATAGTGCCATCTAAATGTTTATTATTATTATATTTAAATTTCCTTTATTGCACTCATCATATCACAACACTACCGTGTTGTGCCTAAATCTATTAAGGACCTACTATGTGCCAGGCACTGTGCTAAATGCTGGACCTTATGAAGGTTATTATAAAGATGAATGAATTAATGAATGAAGCACTATATGCAAAGCACTGTGTTTAGGATGCAAATACAAAAATAAGATTTCCTGATCTTAAGGAGCTCATATTCTAATGAGGGAGATAACATATATGAACAGTTTCAGCTGCAAGTCAAATAATGAATAAGGTGCTGGGTCAGGAGTCAGGAAGACCTGGTTCAGATACTTCCTCTCATATTTATTAGGTGTGTGGCCCTGGGCAAGTAATTTTAACCACTACATGATTCAGACAACTCTCCAGGACTTATTTACTAAATCTTAGGCGAGTTGTGTCCATTGGTGGAGGGAGATCTCAAAGCAGATGAAATCACAGAGCTTTTCCATATTCATTATTATGGGGATGAAGCTTCCTGGCTCTAAAAGACTGAACAATATTAAATGACAGAGACAAGATGGTATTAATGGAAAATTCACTGCAGTGGGTCCCTGCCCTGCCCAAGCAACACTTGTTGGTTGTTTTTTGGGCCCTCCTGGCTCAGAGTGAATGTAAATAACTTTCTCTTTTGTCCATCAACTTTGAGGGTCTTCCCTTCTCAGTTTGACTTTTTTCTTTTTTTTTTTTTTTAAAGGGGCTGATCCTTGACTCACTTCTTAAAGAGGCCTATTCACTGAATGGGCATTGTCTCACTCAACCTGAGAACTTGAAAAGACCTTAGTTTAAAAAGGCCAAGGTCTCCCACTGCATCCTGGGCCATCTTCACTCATCCTGATCCATATTTGGCCTCTTGACCCAGAAGGACCTCGAGGAGAAAGTTAGGCGGGTGACTTTGCACAGCCCTCTCTCTCTGGTATCAATTCATTTGCAAGTCATGTCATAATCTCCCTGATGTCACAGTCCTATTCAAGAACAAAGGACAAACCACACACACAGGTGTGGGAAGAGGGGACTGATGGGAAGGCTTGTTTTTTTTTTTTTTTACCTTTTATGCTCTGTTCTGAAGGTCACTGAGGCTTGAGAGATGAAAACTAACAATGTAATAATAGCACCAAAAAGTATGGGCTTTACCTATCGACTCAGGCCTTTAACTGGGTAAGGCTGTAACACTCAGGCACAGGATATTAATTTGTCTTATTCTGAACATTCCTTTTGAAATTCCACCTTATCAATAACGTATCCAGGAAACCAGCAATCTTTATACTTTAATTCGTAAAGACAAACAAAACAGCTCCTGCAACAGGAAAAATGAAGTGCAGTCTAGCTGAACCTCAGTGAGGAAAGCTGGAGATCCATTCGATTTCCAGGTTTCCCAGAAACATAAGCCTACTAGGAATACATACCAAAGCCTCCAGAATTCACAAATAGATACCACCAGAAAATCTACACAGCTGCCCCAGGTGAACATACATGTGGTACAGCAGAAGAGAATGAATAAAGGGTTGAGGGACATTCTGCCATATTGAAAAGAGATAGACAGACTGACAGACAGGTAGGCAGATAGGAAGGCAAGCAAACAGACAGCCAGTAAAGAAGACAGACTGACAGAGAAACAGTAAGATAGAAGGACAAGAAGAAAGACAGACAGGCAGCAAGACAGATAAACAAGCAGAAAAGGACAGGAAGGCAGACAGTAAGACAGATTGCAGACGGGTAGGCAAACAGAAGCTGGCAGCAGATTATAAAACAGACAGGCAGACAGTAATACAGACGTTAAGACAGGGAGACAGACAGGGAGACAGGCAGGCAGACCGACCTCGGGAATGTGTGTATATGGGTGTGGGGCTGGGGGTAGAAACTCAACTTTCCGAAGCTTTGGCAAAGTTCACAGCCAAACCCCATGTCCTCAGGCCCACCCATCCTAGCCCATGGCCAAGCACCAAAGTAAGCATCTGGCCCCCACTGCTTGCCCTGGCTCTGTTTCCCAGCCTCTTCTCATCATCCTTCCTGCTTTCCTTCCCTAGCTCGGGCGGAAGGTCGGGATCTAAGCGCCGCCAGAGCTGCTCCCCACCCCCGCCCGCTGCGCAGAGGCCAGCGGAGTCCGCAGTAGCCGCAGCGGGGCGGGCGGGCGGCCGCAGGAGCTGCATTGGGAGCTGCTGCAGCCCAGCCGGCAGCGGCACGAGCCCATGGCCAGGAGTCCGGCCCAGCAGCCGCAGCCGCAGCCGCAACCCCAGCAGCAAGGGCCACGGCAGCTTTCCTCTTCCAGCCCCTGCTTGCCATCCGGGCCGCTGGCCGACCCTGATCCGGAGCAAGATGCCGAACACCTCGGGCCTGGACAAAGCTCTGAAAATGTCTCTGCGGAGGAAATCGAAGATTCATTCGTCAGCGGGTAGGGCAGGAATATAGTGGTGGTCCGTAGTAGCGGACGGGGGGGGGGGCAACGGGGGGCGGGGAGACGATTGCAACGCCTTATTGGGAGGGGAGGAGAGGAGGGATGAGAAGGAAGGACCAGCAGGCAGGGCCGAGCCAGGGGAGGGGGCTGCACCAGAGGAATACACACGGCCAGCCAGCCGGGAAGGGTGGGCGGGACTGGGCCTCTAGTTCCAGGCTGTTATCTGACACACCCTTGCCCCTCCCCTGGACTTTTAGGTTCACGGGCGTTTGCTCTCTCCACAAAGCAAGCCAAAGGGCCAGAGTGTGTTTAAGAGATATCCTTGTCTCCCTTTACCCGGGAAGCACAAGATAACAGCTGCTGTCTCTTTAATGTTGGGGGGTAGTGACTAGGGAAACGAGCCCGGTTAGAACCAGTCGAATTGCCTATACCTCCCAGGCTGGACAAAGACGGAGCGGGGAAGGGGGGGGTAGCAAAAAGGGGAGGGGGTTGTGTGTGTGTATATGTGCCCACTCTTTAAAATTCAGTGCGGTGTTTTGCTGGCGGAGACAGAAGCGCGCCCAGGTTCCTAAAGTCAGGGTGGGCATTGCTGGAATCGGCGTGTAGAGCCCCGTGTCCTCCTGAGCCTGCATGTGGAGGCTATAGCTTCTCCTAGGTTTTGTTTGATTTTGTACACTGTCTTGCTGCAGGAGAGAAAGGGAAAGACAGCCAGAGGGTTGAAAATGTTTATGGGCAGATCCAGTTATCTGAAAAAAAATCACAAAAAACAGTCCCTTAAACAGAATACACCTACTCAACCCCCAAATTTGGAAGGACAGCCAAAACACATACCAAGCACTATGTCTTCATAATGTACACATTGTAAATATGTGTAACTTCTGGTGATTTAAGATATTATGTTATAATGGAAAAAACACTGGACTTGAAGTCAAAACCTGAGGAATTTTGGCTCAGATATAATAGCAATGCGACCTTGAGTAAGTCAATTGATCTTTTCTAGCCTCAGTTTCTTTATCTATAATGGTATGTGTATGGCCTACCTTGAAGGAAGGTGCTTTGTATATGGTCCAGAAGTGAGTGACTTACTTATTGTTATGTATGTTGTTATTTACAATCATAATCTAGAGATAATACATTAGTCTCCTAAATTTAGCACTCCTAATCTAATACATCTCTGTAAGCATGTAGTTTGCTTTTACTTTATTAGTTATTTAGAAGTTCCTTCCTTGGTGTCCTATGTGGTTAAGCATAATGGGTTGCCCTGCTTCCTGTGACCTTGGATAATCTCAGTTTTACTGTGATGAAAATCGAAATGTGACCTTTACTCAGTGACTTTCACATATTGCTAAGAATTTCCTGAAGGCTTGTTAAGAGACTTGATCAGAGGAAGGCACTTTGTTTACATTTGGAGGTTGTTATTTCAGGCTTTTTATAGAGAAGAGAGACATCTAAATATAATTTGACTTTCATACTTCAGGTATTGAATATCACTAATGTGAACTGCCCTCTACTGATACTACCACTAAGGATGTTTGTCTCAGCCATCAAAGCCTGCAAATCTAGAAGTCCCTTTAATATTTAATAAACCATTTGAGATTCAGACTTTTCCAGTGTTCATAATTTACATTTTTTTTAATTTAGTGGGAAAAGTAAGACAATAGCATTTTTAAAAACCAGATACATTTGAAAATAATGGTGGCACTTGAGGGCTTCTCTCAAATAATCATGATAAACAGAAAATATTATGGAATATGGAATCATAGAATATGGAACCATCAAAGCTGGGTACCTCTGGCTCTTTATGTTCCTTAAAAATAAGGTTTATTTTTATACTATAAATAACAGGTTATTTTATATTTTTAGTATAATATCACTCTAGGCATTACTTAATAAAGGCACAACTTGGTTAACTTGTTTTCAGTTAACTTGCTATTTACTCTTGTGGAAACTGATTGTATGATTTTATTAGTAGGCACTGACAGTTCTATGCATTATAGTGGTTTAGATCAATAGTACAAACTGCTTTCTAAAAGCAGCTGTACTTCCATGACTTGGGCAGCTCATTGCTTGAACAAATGCCCTTATATGGAATGTTTATTTAGAGAAGGTAACAATAGTGTAAGTTCAGCTACCTCATCTGAAACAGGAGGGATGTTTCTATTGGAAAATAAAAAACACATTACAGACTAGAGATAGCTGCAAAATTATGTACTGGGTTGCATGATTATATAGTTCTCTGATACATATGTCTATATGTAGGTATATGTATAGCCATAAGAGAGTGCTGTGGGTAGTAATTAGTCAGTCCACCTCTCAGTCAAGACCCTAAGGGCACTAACCCACTGGTTCATCCCTGAATTATATCTTCACAGCTAAGGTCTGATATTCATTTAGGGATGTGTGTGTGCGCGTGCGTGCGTGTGTGTGTGTGTGTGTGTGTGTGTTGTGTGTGTCCATCAATGAAATCTCTCAACTTGTACTCTCACATGTTTAGCCAATGCCTTTCTCCCTCACAGCCATCCATTAAAAGTCTCTGCACAAAGAATCATTACATAGTCTAATTGGATTAAGTAAAACAGCAATTAAAAAGGTAAATGCATTACCGACATCAATATATTCCGACATTCCATTTAATCCCTGGTCCAGCCCTATAAAGAGTTGTTGACTGCATACCCAACTTCACCCCAGCCATAGTCTCCCCAGCCAAGGTCTGGGTCACAGAAGTACAGGAATCAGTATCTCATCTCCCAGCTGCAGCCCAGGATATAAGACAATAGTCCATACTCACAATAGGCATGGAGGTGTGAAGTCTGAAAGGCCCTTTACACTATTACTGAGGACAGAGTTTAGGCTACTGGTCTCAGAGCCCTGCCATTCCCCCCCCCCCCCCCCCCCCCCCCCCCCCCGCCAATGTGAGCGTCTTGAGAACAGGGGCAGTGTGCAGTGTTGCCTTTCTTTATATCCCCAGTACTTAGCATAGTGGCTGGCATGAAGTAAGCATTTACTAAATACTTGTTTACCGATTGGCCAAAGGGCTAGTTGCTCTCAGCCCTTCTCAGGTTCCAGAAAGAGTTTCTATTGCATTGGACCTCTCCAGTGCTTGTCTTTCTCACTTCTTGAAAGCTCTTAGTGCTTACCAAGAATTTGGGTTGGGGATAGAAAGCTATGCCTGGAATCAGGAAGATCTGAGTTTGAATTTTGCCTTAGGCCCTTATGAGCTATACAACTCTGGGTTTCTTAACCTGTGTTTATTTGTAAAATGGGAATAGTAACAGCACCTACTTCACAGAGTTGTTTTGAGGATCAAAGGAGATAATTATGGAAAGTGCTTTGCTATGTAAATGTTAGCAAAATCATCATCATCATCATCATCATCATCATCATCATCATCATCATCAAAGCCCCATTTTCCCTGAGAAGGGTGAAAGATTAGGTCTTACAGACACCTGAGCTCTGGGGCAGAGAGCTCAGCATGTCTGTTGTCATTTCTCTCCTCTCTCTGTGTTCAAAAGTCTGGGTGGAGGATTTGGAATCCAACAGTACATGTTAAGGACTCCACCAATCACCTTGCCCCTCTGTCCTGCTTCAGTTGCAGAATGTACTTACTACTTATAAGAAATTGCTCTTCTCAGAAAGCATTAACCTTGCAGATATTTTTCCATTTAATTTCAGTGGGGGAGTGAGGGGAGTAATATAATCAAGGAGGCATGGAAAAATTATTAATGATAGGATTGATAAAGGAAATCTTCAGGGAGGAACTTGAAAGGGGTTTCATCTCTTATTTACTATTCTATTCCTCATAGCTACTGCTCTTTCTACAAAAATAGACAGATAACTGCCTCCTTTTTTATATCACAGAGGCCATCTGACATAGACTCTCAGAATTGGAAGGGACCTTTGAAGTGGTTTAGTCCAACTAGATGAGTCTCTTAACCAGCTTCCCTAGCTTAGTTTCTATCTCCAACCCATCCTTCACACTGCAGACCTTACTGATTTTCCAAGAGTAACTCTGACCATGCTGTCCCAGTGCTCAGAATCCTTCCATGTTTGTCTATTGAATACAGTCTAAATTCCATATAGAATATTGAGCCCTCTACAATCTGGTTGGAGCCTATATATATTCTACACTCCACTGAAATGGAAATATATCCCCTGAACTTTGCCTTTGTGCCTTTCCTCTTATATTTACTGTGCCTGCATTCTCCCCCCCCCCATATCTCTACTTTCTGAAATTCTACTCATTTATCAAGGCCTAAGTTCAAAGGCTGATAGAGTCTGTAAAGCAGGGATTCTTAACCTGGGGTTCATAGAACCCAAAAACATCCTTGGATAGCTTTCAGAGGGTCTGTGACCTTGGACAGGGGGAAAAAAATCCATCTTTTTTTTTTTTAATTAACCTTTGGTTGCCTTTTAATCCTTTGTATTTTAAGCATTTAAAAACATTCTGAGAAAGGGTCCTCAGCTTCATCAGATTGTAGAAAAGATCCATGAAACAAAAAAATTTAACAATCCCTGCTATAAAGGGAGCTTAGAGGTCACCTAGTCCAACTCTCTCATTATATAAATAAAGAGACTGAGGCCCAGAAAGATTAAGTGATTTTCCCAAGGTCACAAAGGTAGTAAGCATTAGAGGCAGGATTTGAACCCAGATCCCAACCTAATTCCAGAGTCAGTGTTCTTTCGACTCTTCCTGTTACATAAGGTATTTCCTAATCCTTCTAGCTGTAAATGTTATCTGCATTCTCTGAATTCTCAGAGTACCTGTTTAATGTAGTTGTAATTTTTCTGTATTACAGTTTTATATATATATAGTTATATAGATATATATGTATAGATCTATACATATAGATATATATGTACATATATATCTATACATATAATTATATTACAGATATATATGTATAGATCTACACATATAATTATATTCTATCTTATTTCTCCTATTGGATTACAAATTCTTTGGGGACAAGTATCATATATGCTTCATCATTAATAAA